GTCTTTCGGCCTCTCCCTGCAGCCTCAAACTCACTTAGCTAATCTTTATATAATCTCATACTGCATTCAAACTATTTTGAACATTTTCTATTTCTGCTGTTGACAGTAAGGTGAGGAGGCTGTCTGTTCAGTAAAAGAAAATGAAAAGGAGAGTTAAAAAAAACTGATAAAGGTTTTGAATGTTAGCTAAGTGAGTTTGAGGCTGCAGGGAGAGGCCGAAAGACAGAGAAGGTAATTGAAAGAGAATAGTGTACTTTTATGGCTCCTGTGGGGGAAGTCTCTCTAAGAGGAAAAAAAAGACGGGGGCTGCCAATTAGACAACTGAGCAGTAGTAGGCAGCAAAACCCTGGCAAGGTTATTCCACTTTCAGCCACCTTCCTTTGATGAGGTTGTGGTCTTTGCACTGTGTAAGGAGGTAACTTGCAGCTTGCATGCTTACATAAACCATTCATCATGAGTTACAAGAGGTGACCAAGAGGAGTGGCAACAGGGAAGTGAGAGCATTAATCCAGTATCTGGGTTGTGACTGTTGGAGGCTAGTTTACAGACAGCCTTTGCAAGAGAGTCTCTGAAATGTCTCTAAAATTTTGAAAATGTTCAAAACATCTGTGCAACAACTTTTTTCTCTCAAAATAGTCACAGAGTTGATGTGAGAGCCTTCACATCTTCTCTTATTTTCCTTAATTCTAGAGCAGTATTTTTGGGGTAAATTTCCATCTATTTATATATTTTTTTTGTGGGGCAGCTGTGGCTTAGTAGTTAGAGCAGTTGTCCTTCAATGCAAGAGTTGGGGGTTCGAATACACATGCCAAAGTGTCCCTGGGCAAAACACTGAACCCCTCATAGCCTCCAATGTGTGTCCCATCAGTGTATGAATGTAATAAAGCTCTGATTATTCTCTTTAGAATGATTTGTTCAATTAGCTTTGTAGAGATCTAGTAGAGTGCTGTATGAATGGGTAAATGAGGACACAGGTTGTAGAGTAAAGAGCTTTGAGTATCTTTAAATAAGATAGAAAGGCACTATATAAGTACAGTCCATTTATACAGCTCAGGTGTATTTAAGCAGTGTCCAAACCTGCCTGTCTTAGGGTGCATTCACACCTGATAGTCCGGTAGACTCGGTTCGGTTGGGGACCAATATTCATGACATTTTGTTTACATTTGAGCTGGTGCGTTTGCATTCACACTGCACTGTGCAGTCGAGCCAACCTGTTGAACCATCCTGTTCCCCCGCTCGCCTGTGGGGGCACTGCACCAAGAACTATTGAAAGATACAACACAAAAACCTCTGAAGACACGTCTTCTTCTTCTGGAAATAAAAACAAAAATGGAGTGGCATCAAGTTTTAGCAGTTTTAGGAGTTATGTTTTGTCATTTTTCAAATATGGACTCAGCATGAGCAGAAAACCATGGAGAATATTGTTTTTCACACAAAGCAGCTGACGGCTACATATAAGGTAAGAGAAATGCGTGTTTGTTTGCCCTGCGCTGTACTCCACTTCTTGCCTGTGGAACGGGGCTCGGTCTGATTACATTCACACTGTACTCGAACTGCGCTGGAGTTCTCCTCTACCGGACCGAGACCTAGGTTTTAGCCCAGGCCAGAGTTCGCCTTTTTTTTCCGTGACAGAGTTCGATGGCGCGTTCACACCTCCCCAAACGAACCAGACTTTCTAGGAAAACGAGTTAGAGTTCGATTAAAGCAGACTAAACAGAGCTGATGTGAATGCACCCTTACTAAAGTGTACTCAGCAGATTACCCTCTCACACACACAAACATTTTTTGTTTAGTTTACATTGTGGGGACCAAAGGCTTGTCCCCATAAGGACAAGTCTCACTGGGGGGTTAGGGTTAGTACTAAAGTGTGAATTGAGGATGGGTTAGGGTTAGGCTTGTACTAGTAATGGTTAGGTTTAGGGTAAGGGTCAGGGTTAGGCTATAGAAATGAATGGAAGTCAATGCAAAATCCCCACAAAGTTAGAATTATGAGAATGTGCACACACACACACATCATGATAGTCTCACGCTGAAGATTTATTGTTTTCAGACTCGACCGTCTCTTCTGCTTCCATCTCTCTCCTAATGGCCTCATTCTAACCCTACACTCCTGCTCTGATGATAAATAGGCCAGACGTATGTGGAGCATGGGTAGTTAGCTAGCAAACCTGATCTTTCTGCTCGCTCCAGAGTCAAATACCCCCACGCATTGCTTTTTAAATGGCTGGCAGAGCTCGGCTTCTGAGAATAACAAAAAGAGCAAAGCAGAGAGACTTCTCAGCTGTCCGACTCTGCATGTCTCCTGTTTGATAATGCTAGGAGATGAGAGCAGCTCCACTGCTGTACCACTATTATGTTATTTCTGCTCACAGGATAAAATAATTTTATGATTTTTTTCTTATTTTCCTTCTCTGTGACTAGTCTATGAAAGCAGAATGGAGGTTAAACTATCAGCCAGAACAACCCAGTCCTCACTGAAGTGAACAATCCTGCCACTTATTTAATACCAAATTTGTTTTGTGTTAGTCTGCCTGTCATGGCGACTGACAGTCCACTTACTGAATGTGGTGAATAGACTAAATGTGGAGGAGTGAGGAAAAAGGCTGAGCATTTAGGAATGAAAGGAAAGAGAAGTCTTTTAGACCTCACAGAAAGAGACTGAAGCTGTATGAGAAAAAAAAAGGTCTTGGTTTTTCCCAAGGGAACAGTTCCAACTTGTGTAAGATTTTCTTCTTTTAAGCTCTTTCCTTCAAAAAATTATTTGTGGGAGCAAATGACACTCCTGTAAACAGAAGACACAGACCCTGTTTGTTGTTGAAAACATTATGTTTCAGAAGGACTTCTGTTGATTTGACTGTTCTGAGGATTGACCAGTGAAAGCTACTGATCATTAAATTTAAATTTAACTAAAGCTTTCTTTTTTCATTCAACCTTTATTTAGACAGGTTAATCCCATTGAGGCTCGAGGACTCATTTACAAGAGAGACCTAATTTCAACAAAGAGTGATGGACAACAATGGACAACAACGACAACAATAGACAATCATAAGAGGCATACAGATTTTTCTTTTTGGACAAATTAAAATAAGATGACAAAAAATGTAGCAAACCAGCTAGATTCTAAGGCGAATGTAGAAAACTAAAAACAGGAACGTGTCTGCATTGGTCCCTGCCAGGAGTCCAACAGATTTTTAAAGCCACTTAGAGAGGTCATGGTCAAGAGCTTCAGGTCTTTTTGCAAGATATTCCAGGAAACAGGAGCGGAGTAGGAGAAGGTCCTTTTGCCAAGTTCAGTCCTCACTCAGGGAACACTGCAGGTAATAATGTCCTGAGAGCGCACGCTGTAGCTGCACTCACTCAGAGACATGTAGGAGGAGATGTATGAAGGCAGCAGACCAAGAAGTGTTTTAAAGATGAAAATGAACCAGTGAGAGAGTCTGTGTGAAGTTAATGATGTCCAGTTAACCAGTGAATACAGGGTGCAGTGGTGGGTACTATAATCACAGCCAGTAATGAATCGTAGTGCACCATGATAGACAGCATCCAACATCTGCAGGGTTCTTGTAGGAACGTTCATGTAAATAATGTCACCGTAATCAATGGAGGGAAGGAAAGTTGCAGTTACAAGGCATTTCCTAGCATTCAGAGTTAGACAGGATCTGTTTCTGAAAAAGAAACCCAGTTTAACTTTCAGTTTCTTTACTAGGTTTTCCACGTGGAGCTTAAAAGAGAGATGCGAGTCGACCAAGGTACCCAAATATTTATAGGAATCAACAAACTCAATGGGGACACCATTTGAGGATAAAATCAGAGGAAAAACTGCCGAGACTGACTTCCGTTTGAAAAAGTCATCCCTTTGGTTTTATCGGCATTTAGGACAAGTTTGAGGTAGAACAAATCTGACTGGATGATGTCAAAGGCGGACTGTAAAAGCTGGAAAGCCTTATCAACTGTTTTAGCTCGACAATAAACAACTAATCAGCATAGAAATGTAAGGATGCATCAGGGATGTTTTTTACCAACATTACCTATGTAGATTGTAAAGAGGGTGTGTCCTAAGACTGAGCCTTGTGGTACACCATTGTTGACTGTTACATAACTGGAGGAAGTACCATTATGTTGAACACATTGCCTCCGATCTGAGAGATAGTTAGAGAACCAACCAATGGTGTGATCTGAGAAACCATTTTTTTTTTCATTCATTCAACCTTTATTTAGACAGGTAAATCCCATTGAGCCTGGAGGAAACATTTACAAGAGAGACCTGATTTTTGAGAGCTTATGACACAAGATGTCATGATCCACAGTGTCAAAATCTTTAGACAGGTCTAAGAAAAGTGCAGCACAATAATCCTTAGCATCCAGTGCTTCAACGATGTCATTAAGAACCTTCAGTGAAGCAGTGGTTGTGCTGTGTTGTTTCCTGAAATCAGATTGATGTGGAGGTAAGATGTTAAATGAGTCCAGGTAATGTTTGATTTGAGAATTTATCAGTTTCTCTAGAACCTTGGCTAAAATGCAGAGTTTAGAGATTGGTCGATAGTTGTTCAGTGAGGTGGGGTCACCTCCCTTCAGCAAAGGAAGAACAAAGGCTGTTTTCCAAGCATCTGGAATGGAGTTTTGGCTTATGGAGAGATTGAAGATGTGGGTCACAGGGACTGTGATGATATGAGCAGCCAGCCTTGAGAAATAAGGTGGAAGTTCATCTGGTCCTGCAGATTTTTTAGGATCAAGACCTTTTAACAGTTTATTAACCTCACTGACTGAGAATGGAGAAAAAGAGAAGGTGTGATTAACTGAGGATTGACTTGTAGGAGGGATTTTTTTTATACCAAGAATGTTTTTTTTTAATCATAAAGCATGTAAAAATAAAACACAGAAATAAAGTAAACATACATTTTTACTCAAGGTCATATTCTTCTATTTTTACACAAAACGAAACTTTAAAAAAATAAAATATCATTACTAAAAAAGTATATTTTAACTTAACTTTCTTTTTTTCCCAATTAAATGAATGTTCTTTTAAGGAATATCATATCACCCACTGCCTAAAATCATGTTATGTTGAGAAATGACGGAGTTTTAGTGGATGTGGTCAAACTTGTGTATGAGCTGCAATGTTACACAACACGATCTGGCAGTGCTCAGAGAATATATTGCGTATGACTCTTAGCTACAACCACACCAAATGTTAGTGCAGTATCTGTAAGAATGACTCGGTTATAATCATTTCTGTATTTGCTAAGGTCAGTTGTGTTGGCCATCTTGAATCAAATCAAAACTGATTCTATTGTTGATCTCTATCCAAGAATGACTTTCTGAAGGTTTTATTAGCATCCATTCAGTGGTTGATGAGATGTTTTGCTAACAGATATACAAAAACAAACACATGCTCAGAGGAAGTTACATATTAGTCACGACAGCCGGTAAAAGCAAAACAACATTAAAGTAAAATGTCAGTAAAGTGAAGCACACTCAGATTTGAAGTGTAGTCTAACAGGGACATCAGAAGCCACTTGAAAGCAAATACCATATTTTCCGCCGTACACGTCGCACCGCCATATACATTGCATCTCTTATGCGTCACCGCTGCCGCATCACATTTGTTACAGGTCACTGCTGACAACGCGGAAATGTGGGCCGTTGTGCCAAAAATCGATTGGCTGCCAAATGGCGGCCGTGGGACCGTGCACGGGAAAACATTAACAGGAATTTAACAAGATTAACACTTAAAAATAATTATTTGTTTGCGTCAAATTATAGCAAAGGTGTGTCTCAGTCTACATTTTGCTTAATAAATGCACTTTGACAGTCAAATCAGCTGCATTTTCAAAAGCCGATACGCAGAAGCGTGCACGTGCAGAGGGACGAGTCACTGTGCATTTCTTCGAAATTTAACAAGATAACCACCTAAAAACAGTTATTTGTTTGCTCGAAATTATAGCAAAAGTGTGTCTCAGTTGAGCTTTTGCTTAATAAATATACTTTGACAGTCAAATCAGCTGCATTTCCAAAGTATGTGTTGCCTAGGTGCTCAGGGAGTGCGCAGAGGGAGGAAATCAGGAAGGAGGAATGCTGTGCATTTCTTCAAAATTTAACAAGATAACCACCTAAAACAATTGTTTGTTTGCTCGACTTTATAGCAAAGGTGTGTCTCAGTTGAACTTTTACTTAATAAATGCATTTCAATGGTCAAATTAGCTGCATTTCGCCAGGGCGGTGCGGAGAAATGGAGCTGATTTGACAGTTGCTCCAAGCGAGCTGGACAAAGGTGTATGGCAAGCCAATTGTGTCATTAATAGCCACTTTTACCTATTACATGACACAACAGCATGCCATACTACTCGATTGCCATCTTGTGGCTGAAAATGGGAGTGTTCAATATTTTCAGTCAGAACGAATGAAAACAATCATATCTCAATCAAAAATTGGTTTATAAAAATGAGAAAAATTCATAAATAAGTCGCTTCGGCGTACACGTCACAGGGCATGCAAATTATGCAAAAAAAACGTGACTTACAGGGCAAAAAACAAGGTACCCAAAATCTTAACAGAAGAAGAAAATAACCCTGCTTTAAATTTATTCCTTTCTCAGATGTTTTTTATTTACTTTTAATCTTTCTCTGTATGCCTCCTTTGAATTATTAATGTCACCTTTAAACCTGTTTAGTTTTGTTTGCTTTTGGGCATCTCATTACGTCTCATTATCCTGCTGCTTAACGAGTCATTCTTCTCTTGTCAGATTTCCCTGTTTTGCATCATCTCCTGGTCTCCTGACTGCGAAGGAAAAGCACACAACCTCCTCCTCTAAAGAGACGGCGAGCAGCGATGTACACATACCTGCGCTCAGTTTGTAAGACGGAGGCTGAGGTGTACATGAGGTCATGCAAACGGACTGCTGCTTGTTCTGGGAGGCCTCGAGTCAGAACCTGTGTGCACATTCATGCTGCAAGCATTTCATGAAAACACCTGCATTCCTCTCCTTTAGTCCTGACAGACTTGTGACAATTTGTGAGAACGTTTTCTATGACTAAAGAAAAAAGGAAAAGCATGATGGATATTTTGTTCAGACTGATTTTAGGGGACGTTGAGCTAAAGCATCTGTGTACTGTATGTGACATAAAAAAGCAACGTGAAGGAGCAAATCTCCCCTTTTTTCCTCTTTGTTTGAATCTATTTTGATTCTTTTCCCACCTGTGCTTTTAAAGGTTGTATCACTGCAACTTGTTGGTGAACAGCATTCCATTTGTGAAGGAGTCTCCAGAATGTTTCTTGACATTCTCAGCGGTTCTCCATTTGCATGAGTCACATAAGTGCAGAGTGAATTTGGTTACAAACACTCTGAATCCAATAAGATTGCAACAGAAAATCTCCCATATTCACAATTTTGAGTTGCCAACTATCCTCCGACAGTGAGATACCAACTGACTGGTTTCTGATTTGTGCTTTGGACTCAGAAACAAACCTTTTTGTGTTCCTCCTGTGAAGATTTTGGCAATTACTTGCCACTGCCAGTCAAGAGGTGTTGATGAGCCACACCAGCTGAGGATGAGGAGGATTGAGCAGATCTGTGCGTGGCCAAGAGGCTTAAGGTGCCTCGAGGTCACGGCCTTACATGTTTGCTGTTTTACAGCTACGTGATAATGCCTCCCAGGTCCATATCTGGTTTGGATTCGGAACACCGCCACATTAGGCTTAACACTGTAAAAGACCGGCTGTGCTTCTGTTCTTCTGATCACTCGCTGAGTCATAGCTGAAAACTTTTTAAAGCATGTCCACTCATGGTGATTCAGTAAAACCGGCATGAACTCATCATAAATGCTGTCATATTAACACCCAAACTGAGAAGTGATCAGTTTTTTCTTAAACGTTCTGCAATCCAGTCTTAATTTATGATAACTCTGTTATGTTAAAATGTCTTATCGATTCTGTATTTATTTCTTCACTGCTTGTGTTCATATATGAATGTATGTTTGGGTCATGCATGGCCAGGTGTTGTGTTTTATTTGGACTCAGCGGGCTGCATTTTGCACACTTCAGTTCTGTAACAAAAGAAACTTGTCTTTGAAGAGGTTGTTCAGACCTGTCGTTAATAATCCGTCTTGGGTGATATGATTGAAATTTCATTCACATCTGGTTGGTTGATCTGAACCCCAAAAAATGTTGTTGATCAATGACCCTTGTTGTGTGCAGATAAGCTCAGCCACAGAGTTGTCAGAGCAACGTGACAAGTTTGCTGGTGTTTCTGTAAAAAATGACAAAATTGACATCTGAACAACATTTTTTTACATTAACTTGGTTCAAAGCTATTTTAGTTAAAATCCACTAGTTATGTCTTCATAAGATTAAATACCCAGTAGATGCAAAATAAATAAAATGAAGGGGTATACAATGGTTAGTAACTTCACAGTTTCTGAGCAAAGACTGAAGACATTAGCCTTTAAAGATATGCAACAGTAAAACAGTACACCATGAGCAGAACATCAGCACTGTGTTTAATTCGGTAAATAAAAAGCAACATAACGCTGCTTAGACAATGCACAGTATAACGTGCAGTGACCACAGTGGGCCCAACTAGCTTTAAATCAATCAGAACAAACACGAGAGAAACTGCAACTTGCTCCCTTATGATTAAAACCATCCTGACAAAACTGAACTTTTTCTTAAGAAGTATTTTGACAACCACTTCATTCAAACTTTTAGCCCTCAAAAAATAAACTGTACCTTCAGAAAATTCTCAATAAAAAAATAAATAATATTTGATCAGCTGGCAGCAGTTCATAAGTCTGCAGCCTTTGTTGGGTCACGTCAGTTCTCTGGTTCTGCATCAAGGATCAGGACAGATTATGTTCACACTACCAAACGTATGTGGATAAATGTCCAGGCCACTGGGAAAGCACTGTCAATGTGCACTGAGGCAATTTAACCTGCATTTAATGCTAACTGTAATGCAATAGTTAAAGTGGAATTTGATTTCAAATATGAACAGCCTCTTATGAGCATATCTCTTGAAGGGTTTTTACTTATTTCTGACTGGAAGAGAAAACAAAAATATTCCGATTTCTGATTAAATGAGGCAGGTCCTGACCCAAATAAAAAGCATTTGGGTTAGAACATACCTGAACACAGCCCACCTTGTTCCACTTAATGAATAAACTACAACCATTAACTACCAGGGACACTTTTAGATGTGGTGTCCCAGGGTCCAGTTGGAGGAATGTCATGTGCTAACTTTGCTCCCTGACCCATTGTTTAACCGTTCAGTTGCGTGTCCTGTCCAGAAGGCTGTGCATTAAGGGCAGACACCACAGTGCTTTTCACCACAGTGTCACTAGTGTACGTAAAGAAAGAAAAAAACATGAAAATAAATGAATACTTGTAAGTTCCTGTAGACCAAAAAGCAGCAAATGTCTTAAAAAGATTTGCAAACTCTGATCCGTGTTTTTGTCTCGTGTCCGTCTACATGACCTGAACATCAACATGTTCCATCTGTTAAAAGTAATGTGTTGGTAAAATATGTATATTTGGTTTCAGATGTTCCTATTTAACTGAACTAAGGCGTCACATCAAGTGATAAATAGCCCCCGAAATCTGCTCCAGCTCCTCCAGCTGCTTATAAATTCCTTCTATTGTGAATTTGAAGACTTCTACGGAGACCATTGTGGTTCCATCATGGAGACTACATCCAACCACTGAACTAAGAGGCTCTGGTCCCTCCAATCAGAAAGGATCATTTCCTTCCCTTAGAAACCAAGTTTCCCTAGCAACAGCCAGCAGTGAATGCCCCTTGCACCTAATTGCTGAGTGGCATTTCCCCGTTTCTCCACTTTCCCTTGTCTTATCGCCTGTTTTATCTATCTTTAAGTGCAGCTGCCTCAAACCATAACCTGGTACCTTGTGTCACATAGTGATGTTAATTAGACAGGAAAAAAAAACTGTCAGTGCATCACTTTTCTTTTTTTGTTCTTTTCACGGTAAAGTTTTTCTTTTTATGGAGTAATTTTGTACGTCATTTTTTCACAATGTGAAATTCATGGCCAATAAACATAAAGAGTTTTTTCCTCTTGATCTCAAAGCTTCTGCATCTTTTTATCTGTATTACTGTGTGAATTTCTTTACACATCATAAATTTGCTGAGGATTTTTCTCATTACTGCATGTTTTACATATTTAGGCAGCTTTCAGATGAAGGCAGCAGTCTGTGTTCGGAGGTATTTAGAGCAGTATATCATGCGTACAGGTTTTGTAGGGAAGTTGAAATCGTCTTATCAGAAGCTCTGAAGCCTTTGGCTTCTGAGCTTCCTGTTCAAGAAAAGACAAAACAGCCAGATACTTTCTCCGTGGAGTCACCTTGGCAACAACAACCTTTATCTGCAGTGTGGGGGGATGAAGGACGACGTGAAATCTTTAAAAAAGGCACCTCTTTGTGTGTCACTCCACACACACACCATCAGTGACACGTGACGTGCTTGAGGAACATCAGTTGTTTTAGATTGTGAACCTTACATAAACAAAATACACGTTAAAGAGACGGAGCTTTACAAATGTACTTATTTTGGTAATCATTAATGTGTGCATTTTAGGTCAGTTTTCACAATATTGTTTTCAAACATAGATTCTTCTGTGGATTTGTTTGGACTATACTTCAGCATACTTTCACCTATTTAAGCCACTCGGTACCAAAATGTTCAGCTTATTCAGTACATTACGGCTATAGCTTTTTAATTTTGTAGCTTGTTTTAGTTGTTAAATTATCTTTATTTAATTTATGAGTTGTTGTTTTCACATAGACGTGCATTGAAATCACTTGAAATACTTGAAAATCTTTGTTCATACTTTTTAATTACTGTACTCTTTTGCAAGTTTTAGCTTTTACCGTTTTCATGTGTTGTCCCAGACAGGTTGATATTAAAAAAGATTACGTAAAATACACTCACAAAGCTAACAGCATACATTCAATAGTAAGTCAAGTCAAGTCAACTTTATTTATAGAGCACATTTAAAACAGAACCTGTTATCAAAGTGCTTAACAACAACAACAACAATCAATGGGAGTAAAATTAAAGATAAAAAAATACAATACACTAATAATAATAACTGAAGAATTAATAAAAAGCATTTAAAACATAGGGTCAAAGAACAAAAAAAAAAAAAAAACACTAGATCAATTTACACTCTATGAAATGCCTGAGAGAACAGATGTGTTTTTAGCAGGGATTTGAAGTGAGGAAGGGAGGTGGCCTGCCTGATGTTTGGGGGCAGGTTGTTCCAGAGTTTGGGGCCCATGACTGAAAAAGTCCGATCTCCTCTGAGCTTCAGTTTTGATTTTGGAACAGCCAAAAGCAGCTGATCGGATGATCTCAGGGCCCAAGAGGGAAAGTAAGGTTCCAGAAGCTCAGCAAGGTAAAGGGGTGCGAGGCAATTTAAGCATTTCAAGGCCAACAGAAGAATTTTAAAGACTATCATCATATGAACAGGGAGCCAGTGAAGGGAGGACAGAACTGGTGTAATATGTTCAGACCTACGAGATCCGGTTAAAAGCCGAGCAGCAGCATTCTGGATGAGCTGAAGATGTGCAATAGAGGCCTGGCTGATCCCAGCATAGAGTACATTGCAATAGTCCAATCGGGTCATGACAAGGGCGTGGACTAGTTTCTCAAGTTCGGATCTGGACAACACTGGCTTGAGCTTAGCTACCTGCCTTAGTTGGAAGAAGCTTTTCTGCAGAACAGAGTTAATTAGTTTGTCAAACTTGAAGTCAGAGTCTAAAACCATCCCAAGATTTTTACCAGACTGCTTGATTATGATATGGCTGAATAAGATATGGCTGAAGAGAGTCCAGGTTGACAGGATCAATGGCGGCAGTTGAGCTAGGGCTAAAGACAATGACTTCAGTCTTCTCATCGTTAAAACTTAAGAAATTTTAAGCCATCCAGGCCTTAATGTTGTCCAGACATTTTAACTGAGGGTGAATGGAGCAAACACACTTGTTGGTTTCACAGGCAGGTAGATCTGGCAGTCATCAGCATAACAATGGAATGAAAGACCATGTTTCCTCAGGATGGACTCCAGTGGGAGCAAATGGTATGGTATAAAGTTTATTAATTTTTTAAAAAGTATAAAACAA